TAAATACAAAATTAAAAAAACTCGATTTAGTATGAAAAAACAACAATCAATTAGAAAAAATGAAGCGAGGTCCATATATGATGAGCAAAACACCAAAGTCAACTTATTATAATAAGTATTGACCAAATAGTTTATTCACTAAAGCAGCAGTCGGAATTAAAAAAATCACCTGCTTCTTTAGTGCTCATGATGCTGATTTACATGCACTCAAGCCTAATAAAATAAGAGAAATTTTAAGTAATTCAGAAAGTGAAATTATTGATATGTATAGTTGTCAAATAAATGAAAAAACACAAGAGTTAAAAAAATAGTTAAAACATCATAATCAATTAACTGTTATTAAATATAATCATAAGAGAGCTATTTTTGAATATCTTACTTTGTTAAATGATAATAATGAATACGGAAGAATTAAAGCCAGTTTGGAAGTCGCTTAAAAGGTTTTTATTGATGGCGGTGCAAGGAAAACACGAAAAATCTGGTATCTTACAAAGTATTGGTTATTTAATGGTAAGCTTCCGAAATCTAGACATGGAAAACATCAAAAAATAATTAGAATAATTGATGATAAAAATATTAAAGAGAAGTGTTATATTTGGATTAAAAACCAAAATTTTGATGCCACTCCAATTACATTTAGAAAATTCATTGAGGATGAATTATTTTCTAATATTGAAATAATGAAAGAAAAAACTATTACCTTAATGACTGCAGTAAGATGGCTCAAAATTCTTGATTATTTATTCTGAAAGAATTGTCAGGGTATATATTATGATGAATATGAAAGAGATAACATTTTACAGTATAGAAAAGAATTTTTAAAAAAGATATTTGAGTACGAAAAGTACATGTCAAAATATGAAGGCAAATTCATGGATTGAATATATCCAAACTTACCTGAATGAGAGAAAGAAATAATTCTTGTAGTCCACGATGAATGTATTTTTTATTCAAACGATGGTAAACGCAAATTGTGAACTAAGGATGGAAATATATCACTAAAGAAAAAAGGGAACAGCAGGTTAATTATGGTTAGCAAATTTCTAATGGAAATTGATAGATGTCTATGCCTGCAGCAAGCTAATATGGAAAAATATTCCAATACACCAGAAGAGACATGGTGTTATTTAAAACCTGGTGTAAATCAAAATGGTTATTGGACAACAGAATATCTTCTTGAGCAAATTAAATATAAGGTGATTCCCATTTTTGAGACATTGTATCCAGATTGTGTGGGTGTATTTGCTTTCAATAACAATTCAAATCATGCTGCATTTAGTAAAGATGCTTTAATTACAAGTAAAATGAATCTAAGTCCAGGTGGAAAACAACCAATTATGTGTAATACCTTTTTTGGACCAAATAATCAATTACAATCGATGGTCTTTCCAGCAACATATCCTGATAAGAAACTTCGAGACATGCCTAAAGGGATTAAACAAGTGTTAATAGAACGAGAAAAATAGCCATCGGAAGGATTAGTATTAGAGTGTAAAAATTGCAAAGGAAAGATCAGAGATGCTTTAAGAGTTTCTTGTTGCACACGCCAGATAATATTCCTAAAGTATGATTTTCTTGCTCAAAAGAATGCAATCGAAAAATTAATTGAAAATACAGGACATAAGTGCATCTTTTTCCCAAAATTCTATTGTGAATTAAATTTTATTGAGAGATACTGGGGAGCTGCCAAAAGACACTCACATGAGAATTGTAATTATTCGTGGGAGGAATTACAAAGAACAGTGTCTGAAAGTCTTAAATCGGTATCTCTAATAACTATTAGGAGGTTTTCAAGAAGGTGTTGGCGTTATATGGATCTTTATAAGAAAGGCCTCAGTGGAAGGTTAGTAGAATATTCCATAAAAAAGTATAAATCTTACAAGAGAATTCCGGATAATATTCTTCAAGAGTTAGATAATTTAGATAACACCAAAACTTCGTGATATGTTAAAGAAATAAAATTTACGAACAGTGCTTAGAATCCAGGCCTGGGATTATATAAAGGCAAAGATGAGTTAATGACAGTAAAAGTAATAAATACAAATGTGAATATTTCTAAATTTAAAGAAATTATACATGTTTATGGAGCTTATCACGAATCCGAATCAAATAAATTTGAATATTCGAATTAAAACAATTACATTATATCGAACTGACTTGACCAAATTACAAATGATCAATTCAAATGGTAAAACTCTACATGTTTATTCTTACATTTCAATATACCGCATTAGCCAATAAAATTTGATAACGTGATAAAGGTCATGTGAGGATCATTATTTGAAATTTCAGATTTTTGATGATTATAGATATTATATATTATACATATTATCATAATTATGTTTAGAATTAGGTTTTTGCTTAATTTCCATATATTCTTTATAATTTACACCGCAGTATTTATTACCGGTACATGAAAATTTCTAATGTTTTTCCATTCCTATATGGTTATAATTTTCTATATTCTTAGTTCTTTGTCCAGTATATATTAATTGATTACAAGAGAAACATATTGCTATTTCGATTTCTGGAGCATATAAACTGCTATCCGGAAATAGTATTAATTTTCTAGCTTCAAGATATTTTTTGCTATTATAAGGTAAGAGATCATTCTCTCTAAAATATGTAAGATATTCCCAAATCTGTTTCATCCACCCACTAAGAGTTTCATTATCACGAACTTGTGGCATCTTACAATATTCACCCTATTCTTCATCAGAACATTTAGAATCCTAATAAGCTACTAAACTGTTAAAATCAATTATTTTATGACTTATTTATTAATTATATGAAATTATACATGTTGCTGAAATTTGTAGATCCTTGATACAATTGATGCAATTATTTGACACAATTAATTGAGTCACTATTAAAACATATAAATAATTGAGTCATGATGCAATTATTTTTAAGGATTTTGGAAATTGAGTTAACAGCAAAATAATTTATGCCACATGTATATATGAGATTATGTTATTATATTAGATTTAAGGATTTGGATCTATATACTCTAGAATAATATGATTTAATTTTAGTGGGAATTAAATTATTAGATGAGTTATATATAATTATCATATTTTATAAGTAATACATACATGTGATTAGGCAGGTTAATCACTAGATAACAGATAACTGACAACAATTAATGAATCATTTTGACACTGCACGTTTCATGTAGATGTACGAGTTAAATAGTGGTAAAGCTTATTGCAAAGCAATGACCTTTGGGTCTACAAAAAATCAGGTCATTTAATCAGTACATATAATTCAGAATACTGCATATAGTTGTGAAATAATAGAATTATAACTTTATTAATATATGAATTCAGATGTGACATCGATATTATTGGCACAGTAATGATTATATTCTATGCCATAGCTTTTCGAGCTAAAACTTATTGCCTCATATGCCTTGGAAATAAATATCAGAATTCAATTCCAATAGTATCTATAAAGATATAACACATAATCAGCATAAATTATCCTTGGGACTCTACATTGTTTATGATACAATTTATATGAGTCAGAGACTCTATGTTCTGCATATTATTTCATATTTCGCAAATCCGATATAAAAATAAAAGAATTATTTATTAATTATATTTTAAAACAAAGCTCATTGTTTTCCAATAGAATTTATTACATAGAATATGATTCGAGGCTACAATGTCTGACTAAAAATTTGTATGAATTGAGCATAAACTTTTTTTCATTCTTCCATAAGGTTATTGAGCCATGCAATACTCAACTTGCTTTTTAGTATGCCACGACATAATAACTCTTTACCAACCAACCTCTCCTGATCTGTTAAAAATTTATGATATTTTTTAGGATCTTTTTTTCTTTTTATTCCACTATAATAGAAACGTATATCTCTTTCCAAATCTTCACAAAAACATCCCATAATCCATTTATTTTTTTTAGCTTCAGTAATGATTAAAAATTCCTCAAGATCTATTCCATGTTCGATAACATATTGACATAAGCCTGCTTCTGGCTGATAAAAGTGGGTTACATTTGGTACATCTTCCTGAGTTTCCGGCAAACTTTGTATAGCAATTATAACTTTCTTTTGATCAATGCAAAAAGGGCAATTAAAAAAATAATGATTATTTTTATCTAGACAGCTCCAATTATCCCATATACCTAAGTGTATATGAACTTTATTGCATATTGGACATTTAGCTTCTGGATCTGTATATTTAAAAACATCCTGGTGCCATGCATTTGATTTAGTATATGTCAAGAAAGAAAATTGTTTCTGTACTGCTTCAATAATTATATCTTTTTCTTCTGAAAATTTAGAAATCTTGATTATACAGTCTCGTAAAAGATGATTATTGATTTGTGAGGATTCAAAAGTTTCAGAGTTTATCTAGGGATCAAGCCTGGTTTTTTTCTTATATTTTTTATATAACTTGGAACAAAGTTTATCAGATATAGGGGTTGGCAAATCAGTTAATTCAGAATACCAATCCAGATATTCAGGAGTTAATATCTCATCAAACTTGGCTTGTATATTCATGTTATTATTTATATAATCTCAAAGCAATTTAATTTCTCACATTGAATATTACGTATTAAAAAATATTATTTCATTTAATTCTTATTGCATACTAATGAGTTATAAAGTATAATTAATTGCTTTGCATTTAAAGTTTAGATAGTAATTTGAATTTCGTGCTGTTCACATTTAATATAGTATGATCCAGTTTTATATTTACTTTCTATGTCTTCCTCATCATCATGGTCTAACTTGCATAAAGGGCATAAAGGATATAATGTCTTTGCAGTAATTCTGTAATAATCAATATTTTCACTACTGAATTCATAATATAGATTAGGATATTGTTTCAATACTTTATTGTGGAAAATAGCATGGTCATGGGTCAGATTATTTTGTTCTTCATGTAAAGCCTTCTTTGGTTGAGGTGTGGGAAGTATACTTGTCAAAGTTTTCAGATTAGAAGAATTTAAAATTTGAGATGTAGATGATATACTTATCTTGGCCATGCCAACTTCACTGATTTCTTTTTCATGGGGTGAGTTTCAGCACTTAACATAGTAAGAACCATTTCTGCATTAACCAACTATATCAAATATATATCTTTTACTATGCTCTTTCTCACATCCTGGACATACTTCTGAGTCATTGAATTCATAACAATCGTTAAATTTGTTACTATGTCACAAAGATAAATAAGGGTACTCCTTCAATACTGTATTAATATAGGAAGTGCAAGAATCATACAGGATAACTAGTGTGGTTTTCTTGAAATGAGTTATTGGTGATAAACTTATCTTGGCTTCTAATAGTTTCTCAGAGTCAAAAGAGTTGGAGGTTTCAGATTTGGTAAGTATATTTACTTGAGATGTAAGTGATATATTTATTTTTGTTACTTCTGAATTTTTCTGATCATTTTCAGTAGAAATGGTTTTTGTAGCTACTTGATTTATAATATTCTGAATTTGAGCATTAGTAAGGCTGGAGATTTCTTTTGTACTATATGAGACTTGCTTAATTAGATCAACCCCAATCCCTTTTTTATCAAATAGCTTAAGAATTTTTTTCACTCTACCCGTTTTAATTTACAAGGAAACAGGTAAAATGCCAGGTAGATGCCATAGCATTTCTTTATATATCCAGGATCTCACAGTTTTTTCTTTAGCCTTATTTTCATCTATAATAGCAAGAACTTTGCTCTTGATTTCAAGAGAATAATTATACCAATGTAAAATTTCTTTCTGACCTATCTTGGTTGCTTTTTCAAACAAGAGAGCCAAGTTTGGTGCAAACTCTGAAATGAGGGTCTTTGAAATTTGGGTAGCACAAGACTCGTTAATTTCGGCACTGTCATACTGACTTGTGGCAATATCCTTCCTATCATTAAATACTCTAGAATCACCACAGCATCGTAATTCTTGTATCAAATCTTGTTCCACAGCTTTGTTCTTGTTAAGCTCAATAAGGTCATTAAAAGAATCAAAATTATACCTGTCATCAGAACCAATTTGTATCAGCTCAGAAGATTTTGACAAAACCTTTCTCTGATCATTTCTACTGGAAATGGTTTTTGCCTTACGTGATGAATCAATCAATACTAAAGAAATGGGTAGTATTGGTAGAATCAACATTGCCAAAGGGGTATTATGTATCTTTTAATCTCGAAGCCTTTTCTCTTTGTTCCTTTCTCTTATCTTATTACTAACCTTTTTCTTATACTTCAAGTCCAGAAGTTCATTAATCTTCTTATCTTCTGATAATATGAGCAAGGAGTTTGGTGGACAGGTATTGGAAGAAATATCATTTTGTGATGACTTCTGCTCCAATTTCGTGACCCTAGCCTTAAGCTTAGCATTTTCTTCTGCAGTCTGTTCCAATTTCGCAACTCTGGCCTTAAGTTTAGTATTTTCTTTGGTAATTTGTTCTAACCTCACGATTCTGGCTTCAATTTCTTCTTTATCTTGTTTCAATTTTGTATTCTCGACCTTGACCTTGACGTTCTTCTTTCTAAGCTCAGAAATTGTAGCAATGAGCTGAAAATTTAATTCTTGTAATGAATCGATTTTTAATTAAGCAGATTGAGATTCAAGCTCTGATGACATGTTTTGTTAGCAACTTTTATATAAAGTGCAAATTTATTTAAATTATCGAGTTTAAAAACCATGTATGCATGTTCTTTTTCAAAACGCCAATTACTTTTGTTAAGAAAAAAATAATTGTGATTGATGTATTTACAAAAAAAATCTTTATTTAACTGCAATGATCAAAGATATATTTACATTAAAAATTCGATATATTTATAACCGCTAAAATGGTGAGGTCACGACCCCACATCCCCAATTGGATGAAACCTTATAAGGTTTCTATTTTTGTTATATAAATATAAAATTATACTTATCCGGTAATGGATCCTCAACCTTTAATCCACATCAACATGTGACAAATCTAATAGGAATATCAGCCGTTAATAATCTAATCGAATTATATAAAATGTTTGATTAATAATAAGATGAATTACTTTATCAATATTTCCTCACTCTTATCACAAGATCTTTCTGGTATATCAGTTTGACTTTTTTTCAGATAAGAGAGGCAGATTCGATTATTTAAATCTCATGTGTTGTTTAAGTCTTATTGAGGGACCTTAGAAATAATCAACTCACATGTATCTTTTTTGATCCCCATCTCTTGATCATCGTAAATAAAAAAAAAATCATACAGATGATAGAAAACATACTATGGACAAAATATACTATACTGTGAAAAACCCCTCTTGTAACTGGGAAATTGTTGTACAAAAGAAGACAAGAGAATGCTACAACTTGTCCAGACCAAAGCAGTATTATGATCTGAAGCTGTAGGAAGCAGAGTTCACCCCCTTGAAATCACCCAATGCAACCAAGCAACATAAGGTATTTGAATCATTATGTTCATTCCAGTGGTAGTTACTTATCATATTAAAATTGATTGCAATTATAGGGAAAATACTGAATGATTTAGATGCAAAAGGTTACCAATTTAGATAATTAACAAATAATTATCAGAAAATCACATGATACAAACTCATTAACATGTTAATAGGTTTCAAAAACTCATCAATCACTTCTTGGCAAAAACCGTTTCCCTGGAAAATAATCAGAAAAATTTTTTTATTAATATATGAAACCTGTAATACAAATGTCTATACCATGTCTATGATATTACTTAATAACCTATGCTAATCCTCTGACATTTACGTGATTTGGAAATTCGTCCAGCATTCTTTATATAGTGGCCTACCATATTATTGTGGTCAATTTTTTTTCTTAATTACTCAAAAATGAGCAAATAAATGTGATACAATTTTTTCATCACTTATTTTATGAATGTCAAAGTATATTATATTAAATTTTTACATCATTTTATTTAGTCACTCAAAAGTTATATAGAAAAGCTTGCAAAATTACTTTTTTCTATTGAACCGGGGGTTTTTTTTTTCTTTTTTTTTTAATATTTCGTGGGTTCCTTCTTAACTCTAATGCACGCGGTGACCTGGTCAAGTATGCTCGCGATCAGCTTATGACAATATTCTGGTAGTATATCATATTATGCTTGTTTGACAAGAATGTTAAGCTAATCGAAATTACTTGGTTTTGGCTTGTGAAATATCAATTTTTTCACCTCCGTCCAAAGATTCTCAATGGAATTGAGATTGGGACTTTGCGATGGCCAATCTATCATATGAATCCAATTCTCTCTAATGAATTGTATAGCTATCTTAGCAGTATGCAGTCTTGTATTAACTTGCTAAAAGAATAGGCAACAATCCTTACGATCTTGAAAATTTTCTAAAGCTGGTAAAACGTACCTTTGAAGAGTATTGACATATAATGCTTCAATGACAGTAGAATTTAATGGAATGAGGGGTCCAACACCATACCAGAAAAAGCAACCCCAATACATATGGCCCAGGTTATGCTTGACAATACTGCTTAGACACTCAATATCCCACTTTTCATGTGATTTATGCCAAGCTCAACCAGGAAAACCAAAAAAAAGACAAACAGTGGTTTTATCGGACCACAAAACATGGCAAAATCTTCTAATGGACCAATCTTTATGGGCAAGACACCAGTTAAGCCTCTTCTTTACATTTTCGGAGAAGACTAATGGTTTTGGACGGACAATGCAAGATCGCAAGTTTTCATCATGCAAGGTATGATGAATGATACTTTTAGAAACAAGAGGTTTGTTTTTCTTTTTTGGTTATTAAAAAGATTGGTAATTTGGGCTAGGTTGAGGCGGCAGTTGCCATTGGTAACCATACTCTTGAGATTGACACGATCAATGGGGGTGAAGATCTTGGGACATCCAGCTTGATTTTTTTGGAGGACTTCCAAAACACCCAACTCACAAAACTTTTTTATAACATTATATACAAAAGACCTTTTACAACCAACAGCTGCTGCAATGGCATGAATTGTGTCTTTCTTTAGATAACCATAAATTATGAAACCCTTCTGTCCTTTAGTCAAGTCCTTCTTGCTACCTATCGTTTGAGACAATCCATCTTGCCACAACTCATCCATAAAAAAAAAAAGATCAATTTATATACTAGTGTCATTGTGAACATATGCCTTTTTTGGTATTCTTTAG